CTCTCTCTCTCTCTCTCTCTCTCTCCCTCCTTTCCTCCCTTCCTCCCTCACCAGAGTCCTTTATTGATGTCAAAGCTCCCAAGACAATAGTGAGAGGAGGTGGTGCCTTTGGCAGGTCGTACATGGTGAGAGCAGAGCCCCTGCCATAGGATCACTACCCTTGGGGGTCCCAGGGACCTTGTGTGCTCTCTCCAACAGGTGAGGATGTGGCTGCGCTAGCTCTAAATCTGGGAATTTGGCCTCCAGGTTCTGAATCTGTGATTGAATGTAGACTTCCCGGCATCCAGAACAGTAAGAACTGCATTTCTGTTGACACTGGCCCTCCTGTTTCTGGTATTTTGTTACAGAGCACTGAGACTCGCACCCTGTGACCGTAGGAGTCAAGGGGTGTCCAGGTCAAGGATTTACCTCCTTCCCCTCATCTCTTCTCCCTTCTTCTCTTTCTCCATCCTTGTCTTCCTCCGTCCTACCTCAGAGAACCCCTGGGCTTGGGGCTTGGGTCCAGGAGAAGTGGACACGGGAGCAAGGGTAACCACGAGAATGTTCTCGATGGGAAGCAGGGAGGAAGAAGCTGGCAAGCCCCAGTGTCTGTCGGGGCAGCCTGGCTACAGGGGAGCCCCTGGAGGGAGCAGGGCCAAAGACGGGGCATGGAGGGGCTGGGCAGGCTCCTGCCCCAGGGACAGCAGTAGCCCATGGGTGCAGTGGCCTCCGCAGACTCCTGCTTCCCTAGCACAGGGCTGGCTCTTCCCCAGCAGTGCCCGGGTCCAGGGCCAAGGCCCTATGCAGCAGGTGGCTGCTACCTTACCCCGGGTTGCCTGCTGATTTCACACCAACAGGCCTAGAAAGGATACAAACTCCTCTCCTTTATGTGGCAGAGGCATGGGTATTGTTTTGATCAAAGCAGCAGAAAAGAGAAAGCTCTGGCCTCACCTTTAAAGTAAATGTAATTCACCATCACCATGATGTCAGTGCTGTCAAGGTTCTGGATCAGGTCTGTGATCCTGCCCTGGGTTTGCCTGGCCACATAGTCATTGATCTGCTTCTGGGCTGCTGCAGGGTCCTCAAAGTTGATGGAGTAAGTGTCAGCCAGGTACGCGGCCATGATGGCCAATCGGAAGATGTTGTCAATGGCCAGCCCCTTGCTGACGAACAGGGCATTGCCGAGGTTCAGCTCAAAACCCTCTCTGTGCTGAGTGAGCCCCACCAGCAGACGCCGGAAGTCACCGTGGAACTTGGTAATCGCTTGGCGCTGGGGGTTGAAGCCCAAGGCCCCCAGGATCTGTGCCTGGGTGCTGCCCTTGGCCCCCACGGACAGGATGGCCAGGATTGTAGACACGCTCAAGGGAGAGAAGAAGACGTTCTGGCCTGGGGAAGCGGAAGCCAAGGCCCTGTAGAGTTCGAAGGTGAAGTCCCTGCTGGGGGGCTCCTTGGGCAGCTTCTTCTTAGCCCGGAAGCGGCGGGAGGGGCTCCCCTGAGGGCTGAGGAGAGCCAGGCACAGGAGCAGGAAGAGCTGCATTGTGGCTGCTGGGCTCTGAGGGGACAGTGGGAAGGTGACCTCAGACAGGATGCGGCCTGAGGACAGCTGCAAGGTGAGCAAGCTGTCCCTGCTCATCACCCAGCTCCACGTGGAGGCTGGTCCACACAGCCCCTGAGAGGAGAAGTGGCACCCATACAGTTCTGAGTGGAGGTTTGCGGGTGGCAGCAGTAGCTGGAGGACAGGGAGGTGGGGTGGGGACACCTGTGGAGGGGAGAGAAAGGAGAAGGCAGAGGAGGTGGGCACTGCAGCGCAGGACCCGCTGCCAGGCAGGAGTCGCTCCCTCCGTCCACACTGAGGTTCGCACTGGGAGGCCTAGGGGCCAGATGGCTCCTGGTCTCTGCCTTCCACATCCCCGAGGGTGCCAGGTAATGAGAAGCTGCCAGCCAGCACTGCCCAGCACTGCCCAGCCCTCGGTAAGGCCTGGAGTGCCCTCAGCACTGTGAGCTTTGTCCTGGGGAAATCACTGAACACACAGCGAGTGACCAGCGCTGGGATGGCCCCCGCTCCTTTCCCCGGGGCTGCCCCAGGCCACCCCTGCCCCTGACCAACCAGAGACATGGCCCTCTCCTGGGAAACTGCCCCTTCATGGAAATGCCTCAGCCAGCTTCCTCTCTCTTAGGGGCTGCAATGTATCCCTCAGAACGGCTTCCCATGGGAGTGCACTGGGAGACAGGACCTCCGTAAGCTCCTACTGGATGAACTTGAGGTCCGTAGGGTGGGCCCCCGTTGGGTGGAGCTGCCGCCTCCTGGGCCTTCAGTCCTCCCTCTCCTCTGACCTCCAGCACTCCCTCAACCCCCGACCTTCCCCTGCCCATGTTGTTCCATTTGGCCTCAGCCGGAAGTCCTCCCTCACCCAAACTGCTTATCAGTGAGGAGCCTGCTCCCAAGCCTGCTGCCTGGGTTAGAATTCCAGCCCACTATGGCCTTATAAGAGCTTTCTGGAGCCACCTTTCCAACCAGGAGACAGGGTGGTGGAGGCAGCAGTCACATCAAGGGGTGCTGGGGTGAGCCCACCAGCAAGAGTGAGGTGCCCGGAGCCCTGCCCTGCACGGGGCACCTGCTATGAATCTGGGGGCATTGGTTGGCAGAGCCTGGCCGAAGCCCCATCTGACACCACTTCCTCAGCCTCACCATGGGTGACAGGCAGGAGCTGGGCCAGCTCTCAGCAACACCCCAGCCTGCAGTTCTAAGTGTCTCCTCTGTCCCTCATGCACATGATGTCCTGCCTTGGTCCCCAGGTATGTCAGGACAGGCTTCCATAGTCATGTGATGCAAACCAAACGAAACCAAGCCCCGAGGGCAGCACTAGAAATGGCTGCAGCTTGGCCCACGAGGGCGGGTCCCAGACAAGGGAGGGCACCAGGACAGGCAGACTGGGGCTGCAGGCCTGTAGCATCTGCACAGAGCGGCATGGCTCAGGCTCATGGCTCATGGCTGCATGGCCCCAGCCCTGGGCTCCAGACAGCACTAGGACCCAAAGAAGTAGGTGCATGGAGAGTGTTCTGTCTGCAGAACCTCCAGGCACCAGGAGCCAATGGGCAGCCCCTAAGTCACCAGCCACACCCTCTGCCAGGCACCGGCTGCCTTCTCCATCAGCTCCTCCAGCTACATGCCTGAGCCAGGTAGGTCTCCATTTCACAGGAGGGTAAACCAAGGTTTGGGGGTCGAGTCTCTTGCTGGCTGTGGCCGAATGTGGGCTCTGACCCCTTCTCTTTCTGCTGTTCCCATCACCATCCATTCTGCTCCTCGGTACCACTGGGCCCTCCATTTCTGGGCCACAGCTCCATGCATTTGGGGTCCCTGGCTCAGCAGCCCCTGCCCTCAGCCCTCATCTGCACATAACTCAGACTTGTCCTCCAAGCCTCCTCAGCCATGCCCCCCTGTTTCCATGGTGACAGCTGCTGCTAGCAGTCTTCAGGGACACGTGGGGGTGTAATCTCATGTCCTTCACAGTAGTCTATCTTAGGGTAAGGCTGGTCCTCCTGCAGCATGAGAACCACTATGTATCAACTTACGCCACAGAAAGCATTCAGCTAGCAGCAGTTAGCAGGGAGCAGATAACCACCATGCCAGGGCAGCTGGGAGGAGGGCAGAGCCTGGGCTCTGCTGGCAGCTGGAGTCCCCCTGAGCAGGTGTCCACCCCTCCATAAGCCTGTTTTTCCTCAGTGGAAAAACATGCCCTGCATCTCCAAAAGCCAGAAATCTATGGGCAGAAGCCCCCCATATCTCTTGGGGGTCGGGGTCTCCTCTGGGGGAAGGTCCACATTCATGCAGGCTCCCCTGGGCTGCAAGATGAGGGAACAGAAATCTTTTCCTATGTGGGCACTCTTTTGTACTAAGGCACTATTTTGGAAGGGCCAAGCAGATGCTCTATAAATATTACTACCTCCAATCCCCACCAAAAGTGTTACTGGTCCCATCTCACAGATGAATAAATGGAGGCTAAGTGAACTATAGGGTCATGGCACACTTCTAGCCCAGCTTCTTACACAGAGCAGGCTCTGTCTCACCCCCAGGGCCTCTGCACATGCTGCAGCCTGCTGGAGTCCCCTCCTCTGCTGACCCACCTCACCAAGCCACTCGTTCCCAGGCTTCAGCTCTGCTGATGTTACTTTTGGAGACAGCCTTTTACGCCCAGCCTTCTCCTCTTCCACTGTTCTTCTCTGCCACAGTCCCTAGCTTGTTCCTATATGCCATCACACAGGCATCTGCCACCGACCTCTTTTGCTCCACTCTCTAACCTGGAGAACATGTGCCTGTTGCAGGGGGACCCGGTCCATGCCACTCAGTACATGAGCCTCTGCCATCATGGTGGAGGGCACCATGCCCACTCTGGGGTGAATGCATGAATGAGTGAACGAACAAGGGATGAATGAATGGTGAATGTGTGAGTGGGCGAATGAATAGACCCCGTGCCCTTCTCTGACCTCAGCGTGTCAGATGTAACCTGCGCACAGCAGAGTACAGAGCCAGGCCGGACGCCTGCGGGGCTCTCTTCAGCCCCAAGTCTCCTGCCAGGCCCCCGGAGTAGCTCCCTCCTGTCACTAGGCGGAGCTCCTTTTTCTTTTGTTTCTCTTTTTCTCTTTCT